TTTGGGGGGTACAGAAAACCCCCCGGTCCGGAGGGGGGGTCCGGGGGTCCTCACCCAGAAAATTTGAGAAATTTGTAATTTAAATAGACGCATTTTAAGGCTTCCGTGACGCAGATTTTCCTTAAATGTCCACTGAAAAATTACGTTTCCTTTTTGAACTTTCAGCAAAAAATGCATATATGAACTCAAAAAAATCCTGAAGATTTTTGAAATTTTAACTCTAATAAAACGCATTTCAAGGCTTCTGTAACACAGATTTTTCATAAATTTATACAGAAAATTACGCTTTTTTTTACTTTAACGCAAAATACTTTCAAATTGTTACATTCAACAAAGCTGGAAATTTTTTGAAATTTCAACTCTATTTGGACGCATTTTGAGGATTTTCTGACGAGTTTATTAGGAATGAACACGGTGTTTTCATTTAAGACTCTACATTAAAAGAGATAAATATCTTCGACGGTCTGAAACTTTTTCTTTGCTCGCACTTTCTCATCCTCTGTTTCCTCTTTCCTTCTCACTTTTCCTCCTTTTTTGCTTTGGGGGGGGGGGTGGCTTGAGCCCCCAAGCCCCCCTCCCCCCTCCTTGCTACGTGCCTGACAAGAGCTCCATTTTCATGATCTCTTACAGGTCGCAGCAAAAGTCATCAAAACCATACAAAAATAAAAAAAATATGTCTGAGAAACATTTTGAGGCTCTAAACCTTTTACGGAAACTATGTTGAATATTTGATTTAGTTGATTAACTTTTGGTTGGTTTCTTTCTTGAAATTGATTTTTCTACATTTTTCCAATATTTTACCATGAGTTCGCTCTAAAAGCGTCCATCATCGTAGTCGAGACAACCTCACAGCGCTTATCAAAAGCATATACATCAGCACGACCCCTCGTTGAAAGCGAGACCTCCGTCCATCGACAGACTACCCAAGTAGCAGAGGTTGCAACAAAATCGTTTGATCCTTGCAACTAATAGATTGATGTGCAGATTGCCTACTCGCTCCCCCGATGGAGCTATCATTGTCGGAACTAGTTGCAATGGGCCTGTTGCAAACTTTTGCTAGAGCAAAAATAAGAGTTGTTTCTTGTAGATAATGCCTCAAAAATCATGATGAGCGCATCGGCAAAGTCTGAAATGCACTCATAACTTCACAATCTGCGTAAGAAATTTGCGTTTTTTTAAGCTTCCCGCTTCAAAAACGATACTACGGCACAGGTGAACATTTTGTTAGAGGAGTCGCTCCATCGTCGGCGATATTCATCATGGCCGACGCTTGCGCGCAGTTCCGCGTGTAATTCGAGGAGAGTTCAAGGTCAATCAATTCGGGCGTGGAAAATATGAACGTTAACACACCGATTGTTATCTGGTTTAATCCAGTTCAGGTGTTATCTCGTCCCATCAAACGTGTTTTGGCGGATTGGCGTCGGCCATGATGATTATTGCCGACGATGGAACGACTCCTCTTACAAAATGTTCACCTGTGCCGTAGTATCGTTTTTGAAGCGGGAAGCTCAAAAAACCGCAAATTTCTTACGCAGACTGTGAAGTTATGAGTGCATTTCAGACTTTGCCGATGCGCTCATCGTGATTTTTGAGGCATTATCTACAAGAAACAACTCTTATTTTTGCTCTAGCAAAAGTTTGCAACAGGCCCATTCAGTTGAAACATGTTTCAACTTCAAAGTATTGCTGGTTGCCTATCTTTCTATTTTAAACAACTTTGGTGCAGACATTTTGCAATCTCAGTAGGTTGCAAGTTTGTCCTCCGACCAGATCGCCGAAACCCGGCACTTATCGACCAAAAGTTGACCGAAAGTTGCAACTTTGTTGCAACTAATTCCAACATTGTTTCAACTTTTTGCAACTTTTACATTTTTTTTTTTTTTTTTTTTTTTTTTTTTTTTTTTTTTTTTTTTTTTTTTTTTTTTTTTTTTTTTTTTTTTTNTTTTTTTTTTTTTTTTTTTTTTTTTTGATGAGGGGAAAATTCGGTACAGTGCCTCCATCATGAGGGTCGCCAAAATGCCCCCCATGAAAGGGGCCCACCGAATACCGGGACGGCAACGACCATCAGCTGGTGAAGAGCCGAGGACTGGAGGGCAGGGAGGGCAGACCAGCTACGTCTCGCTCAGCCCTCGAGGCACCCGATCTTATGCGGCCCCAGAGGGGGGCAGCCTACACCTGACTCAGCTCTGCGGGTGCGTCGAACCCGATATCCCCAATTGGATAGCCTGCGGTAAACTTTTAGATTGAAAAATGCTACTTGGGTAAGAAGTATTTCTTCACTAACTAGAACTGAGAACTTCTAGAGTTCGATGAGTACCTATTTTGAATCCTCAAAGGACACCGTTCTGGAAAAACTCATGAAAGAAAGCGCAAAACATACCATAATTCTCAACTTTAAAGTTCGACGATGATGACGACGAAAAGTAGGGTTTACGGCTACACTCATTCAAAACTAAAAACATCACCCTCCTCAAATTAACCAGTACGGAGGTTGTGCACACACGACTCGTCCAAGCTAAAATGAATACGCAGACGGACAGTCCAGGCTTATATCGGGTCTAAAACAAATTCTCGGGATGGAGATCAGACTGAATCTGTATCGCAATGCATCAGGGAGAAATGTTTGTACCGTTTCCCATGACCTAAGTCAGGACCTCAGAAGAATGATTGTAGTGGTATCAATTTGAAGATAAAAATTTGAAATCCACACTCAGGTACTCGAGGTCCAAGGTTCCAATACAATCCCTCTGCGAGACATCAAGGGGCATCTCAAAGTCCGAAATTCCGGAACCCGGCAGACCCTGTAGGCCGCTTTTGTCTAGGGACTTACTCTGGAGTACACGGTCTGCTTCCGGATCTTTTCCGGACTCGACACCACCGAACTAATGTTACGTCACCAGTCACCACCGAACTTAGGTTCGACAAGTCGCACCAATATTTAAATTTTACTTTTTTTACTACATCAGGCAACGGTGGAGTGTGTGGAAGGCACAGTTCGAACTCGGTGCTGCCAAAATTAAGATAGTTTAGGCTACATTCGGTTTTGCCAACACGGACCAATAATTTAATTATTTAATTTTTTGCACCAACTGACAACGCTGTAAATAGTTGTACTTCGATTGATCGAATATGGATCGTTCGGTCCCTCGACACCACCGCACTCAGGTTAGGTTACTCGACAACGTTGTAAATTGCTCGACTTAGGTTAGGTGGACGATCGATACTTAGGTCAAAGATCGATAGTTCCGTTACTGGACACCACCGCACTTTAGCACCATGGAAGATAGAAATCGATATATCAAAGATCGAGGTCAATAGGTCGAAGATGGATACATCGATGGAGCTTAAACCGCTATTTTCACCCCCACTATAAGCATTGATAATATTCTCAGTGAACGTTTGTACATCTCTACCTTATATTTGAGCACCATCATTTAAGGTGCGATTTTCTCCAGCTTTCGTCGTCGGCGGCGACCACGCTATTAGCGCCAAGAATAGGTTGCAATCTGCAACGTCAGTAATTGGTGCCATTATCGAAATTCTGTTTTCCTCGTCGTCGACCGTGGCAGGTCCTGCAGCGGCTCGAGATTATTTGATTGAAAGTGCTGTATATTTCTGTTATCTCGGTTAAATCTCGTGAAACGTTCCGTGGAGACAAGGAGTAATACGGTCCATAGAACGCAGAAAGTTGTTGTTTGGATATGCATCTTAATATTTTCAGCTGATCGATAAGAATCAAGCATCAAAACGCGATTCTGAAACCAGTGCAATTGACACATTCGGCTGTTGAGCCGCGCACTTTGATGTGACATTTTATGAATATCTACGTTTCTTTCATCAGTTTTTCCCCCGTTTTTTGAAGGTCATTTCATACATTGAGTTGAAGGAGGAAAGGGAGAAATTTCGGAAGCAGATCATTAAAGTAATAGTGAGCAGAGATACCGAATATAATGATGAAACAATCATCCCTTCGTCTGATGAAATTCAACTCGTTCGCTATAATTATTATATTCAACATGGCATTGACACTGTTCATGTTGCACCTATTGAGCAGCATTGGATCTCGCATATTTTAGACCTAGTTCCGATATCTTTAAAGAAAAAGCACGTCAAAGAGGTCAATGCAATTTTTCTTGAAGTCAAGGTAAGAGGCACTTTCACAAACTAAAACTTACAGCTTTTAAATTCAGTCTTAAGGTACTCTAGTAAAAGTGGAGTACCTCGTCATTGACACATCACAATTCTTTATGGAACAAATCTCAATAATTTCACTCTGATATCAATCTGACTTCTCTCTGACATCATTCTTACCATTCCTCAATCACTATGATGACACTGTGATGGCAGAATGTTCAACAGACATCACTGTGACATCACACTGCTTTATGGAACAAAGTGTGGATGTCATTATGACATCAGAGTGATGTCCTCATATCCCATTTTTACTAAATGAGCAAGAGTTAGTATGGAACGCCGTTGCGGACCAAACCTAAAACGCGCGCGCAAAACAGAAAAATACGCGCGCGACACAGTAAATATCCGCCGCTCGGGGAAATCTGAGTGATTCACGGAAAATATCATGCGCTGCGAGAAATTTTGATACTTTAACGATTACGCGTAGTGCACAGGGAATTACGGGAATAACCTCAAATGCTGCGTCGCGCACCGAACTTCGATACCTATATCGAAATTCTACGCGACGCACAACATTTTTACTTCTTCCTTTTCTTCGTCAGAAAACCGTTGGAGGGGAATAATGGTGTTGTTGCCAAGACTTTAAAATTCGGGCTTGACGAAAGTTGCGATCTGCTGATAGGAGACAATTTGATGATGTGAATCTTGTGATGGTTGTGAACAGAGATGGAAAATTTCATGAAATTTATTCGAATGAAATTTCACGCGTTAAATTTCATGAAATATATTGAAACTTCTGGGGATACATTCAGGAGGCTAAGAAACGCCTAGAAACAGTGATCCTAAATTTTGAAACTTTTTACCCCAAGCCTAAAACATTCGCGCGTTGCAAATGTTTTCGTTTAGTTTAGAGGTTAGGTTGGGGTTTTTCTCTCTAAACTCCCCTTTTTGCCCCCTCTTAGTGTCTGGCACCTTTCGTAGAGTAGCACAACACCGCAGCATCAACAAAAAGAACATCTGAAACGCTTTCAGACCTTCAAAGGTTCAATCACTACTTCTAAAAAAATTAATAAATTTCAACTTTTGTGAAATATATTCGAGCCTTATGAAATTTCACTTTCCATCTCTGGTTGTGAATTCAGATTCAAGAAGGGTCGAGAAGCGTGATCTCGAAAAAATTGGGTAAGTGAAACACAATTGTATGATTTTTAGGCATAGTCTTAGCAACAGTGCAGCTATTCCCCTCCAACGGTTTCCTGACGAAGAAAAGGAAGAAGTAAAAATTTTGTGCCTCGCGTAGAATTTCGATATATCGAAGGTCGGCATTTGAGGTTATTCCCTTACTTTCCTGTGCGCTACGCGTAATCGTTAAAGTATCGAAATTTCTCGCAGCGCACAACATTATCCGTGAAACACTCAGATTTTCCTATGCAGCGGACATTTATTGCGTCGCGCGTGTAATTTCCTGTGTTGCGCGCGCGTTTTAGGTTTGGTCCGCAACGGCGCGCGGCGTTCCATACAGGTAGCAAAACAGACAAAAATGGGGTAACCGACGGAATCCGAAGAGTAGGCACTCTACTACTCTACCAACGAAAGACTTCCATAACCCAATGGGCACCTGCTTCCTGGCCTGTTGCCACGTGCGGCGATACATTATACAGGGTGTTCCATACCTAAGTCCCGCTCCCCCCTCTAACTTTTGAACCGTTCGAGATAAACGAACGAAACTTTGAGAATGTTTCTGTCTCAAAGGAGACCGTCTTCTGAGGGGATATACAATTTTGCCCCTCTTTTCGGGATGTAACGAATTTCATTCTTCATTTTAAGTTTTTTCCCCCTTCCTTTGTAGGCCAAAAATAGCTGTAAGTGTCCCGCGGTTTGGGGACACCGTAGCGGATCCGGCTCAACCGCGCGCCGCGACGCCCGGCGGCAGTTTGTCAGCTGATTTTGAATGATGCCGGAATCACACGCTGAACTTGGTAGCTGAATAGGTATGGAAGTCAACAGTCATCGCTCAACACACTGATCATCACCTCCCCTCTCCGGAGGGTCAACTGTTTTCTCTCTCTCTCAATCTTTTGGACTTGAAGTGCAGCTGTGAGTTGCACTTCGCCCAGCTTCATTACTTCTCCTCTACCTCCTGTTCCTGACGAATTCTTACATCCACTCTGTGAGACCTTTGAGTGCACGCTGTGAGTGGCATTTCGGTTAATATTAAAAAATGTTACCTTTGTCGGTATTTTATTTTGGGACGGTCTACCTACACGGAAAAAAAGGGTTGCTGTATGACCCGACGAGTCTGCACTGTTGCAGGAAAGTGACTGTGAATACCGCTATATACCTAGAGGGTTACCGGAGTTTGCGATTGTGATAATACTTTTAAATTTGATGGGCACCATGCACAAGTGGACGTATGCAAATGTCTCGCTAATTGTAAGACGAACGCATTGTTCCTCCGCTGGTCCATGCTCCTCCGCTCGCTAGTGTGCGCTCGCCGGTTTTAGGATTCTTGCGCATTCCAACACTCTGCATGTGTGCTGGAACTTGCTACGCATCTTTGTTTTCGGCTTTTCCATTTTGTTGTGGGTTCCTAGGTACTGACAATAAACGATGAAGAATTCCTTCAGCATTCAGATGCTGGATGAAAGCGTTGCTCAGGTATTCTCCTCCATTGTCACTCTGTAGCTCTTTTATTTTCTTGCCATGAAGATTCTCCAGTTCTCCACCTTTCTTTGGAATTTAATGAATTCTATCATAGCATCGCTTTTCTTCTTGATGGGTATAGCAGTTACAAAATTGGTATGATTATCGATAAATGTGATGATGTATTTCGCTCCTCCCAGGGATGTTGGCTTAATCTCACCCATGACGTCAGATGACGTCCATGACGTCAGATGACGTCCATGACGTTGTAGATCGAGGAGAGGTGTTAATCTAGTGTATTCATGCATTTCTACCATGTTAGCACAGTATGTTTCTCACGCAGTTGGTACACCTGTGTGACCATCTTTTTTGAGGTTACATGATGACTAGTTTTTTTTAAGATATTGGTAGATCGTATTTGATACGCTGCGCAGCGCAGCCCTTTTTTTCTTTTTGTGTTAGCTATGATGATGGAAGAATAAAATAGTTTTTTATTCTTCAGACCAAGCTGTTTGTGCTGTTTCTCATTTTCATATTCACAGTAATTGCTAAAGAGCTTTTAAGGAAACGTCACCGTAACCTTTCCGCGAAATTAAATTAGCAATCCTTTCCGTCATAGGGTTATGGAAGCCTTACCATGAACACCTTATTACAAGCATTTCCAATGTAACGTTGACGTAAGCGTTCCATGACAGTGTTTCCGTTAACTCTTTGTCACCTAACGTTACGGCAACCTTGACGCGCCAAGGGCAAAGGGCAACTAATGTATGGAACATCCTGCGGAGACGTCGACGCAACGTTACCGGCTAAATGCTCGCGGCTGCCTTTCTGGAGCAAGGTTTCCGCAACGATCCACCGGTAAGCATTTCCGTCAAAAGGTTACGGTAAAGTTACTGCGGAGTCCCTTCCGAACTGCTTCTCCAAACAAGGCCAACGTACCTAAGCTTACTGCGGCAAAGTTTTTCTAAACCTTTTATAACCAACGTTATGCCAACTTTGACGCGCCAGGGGCAAGGGGCAACCAATGTATGGAACATTCTGCGGAAACGTCGACGCAACATAACCGCGGCTAAATGCTCGCGGCTTCCTTTCTGCGGAAGGGTATAGTCCCTTTATACTGAGAGTTCGGGCGGCCAAATAGACCTAATGGGACCCGTTGGACAGACAAGGAGGGGCCGCACAAATTACATCTCACTTTTTCTGTCGGCAATGTTGAGTAACAATTGTTAGGTGCAAATTGTAAGTCATGCGACTAGAGCTCGCGCATCGTAAGTTGAAACAAACGTCAGAGTATTGTTAATGTCACCACTCATCAGTGGTGCTATCTGACCGCGTGTACTCGTATTAACTTATTGAGTGGTGCTAATTCAGATCTAATCAGAGATTGACGTTTGTCTCAACGTATGATGCGAAATAAGCTCTAATTCCATACATTTTTTCAAACTTTCCTACGTACAAATTCATTGAGAAAATTTTTAAAAACTCTAACTCTTTTTTATTAAAGGCCTTCATCATTTTTTCTTATTTTAGAGAGAGTAAGGAAATGCTGATTATAACAAAATTAGAGGAAAAATTACTTTCATCCCTCTTGAATGAAAAAAATCAAACGAAGCACCTACCTGAAAAAATAAAATAAAGTAAAAACATAAAATGAAGTAAAAAATAAAATAAAGTAAATTAATAAAATAAAGTAAATAAACAAAATAAATAAAATAAAATGAATATATTATATTTAATTTATTTCGGTTAATATATTTTTATTTATTTTTTCTTTTTATTTCATTTATTCATTTTAATACATTACATTTCACCTACTTACTTTATTTTATTTGTTTCTTCATCTTTATTTATTTCATTTCATTTCATCAATTTAATTTAACCTATTTTATTTTTCTCATTTATAATTTAGTAATAGTATATGAGATTGATTAGGCCATAGACTATCTTATGGCTGTAAAGTCACACCTTTTGAGTTTCAACACGATTTTAATTTATTTATTTTATTTTTTTTGTAAATTATTAACTGATAAAAAAAGTAAAAAAAAATGTATCAAAATATATTAAAAAGTAAATTATTTTTAAGTATATCAAAATAAATAAATTATTTTTAAATTAACAAATAAAATATATTAGAGTAAACATGAGTAAATAGAATAAACAAACTGTAAGAACTTTTCTGAAAATAGTATACAGAAATATTAATTTAAATTTGAGAACAGAAAGCATCATAACGAAACCAAAAAACAAAATTGTCAACTCACTTGAATTTCAGTGGAGGACTAGGAGATTCCTTCCAACTTCCTCGATTTCATTTTCAGTCTGCAGAAATTCCTCAAAAATTTTGAGGAATAATGTCTTGGATATATCTTAATCTCTAAAAAGCAAAATAGCAGGAAAGGTATTTGTGTGGCTGCAATTTCACTGTTGATAAGGTTTCCGCAAGCCCATCACAGGTGCCCGCACGGCTATACCGGGTGTCCATACGGCCAACTAGGTGTCCGTGAGCCTAAGAATGTCCGTCCATGGGGTGTCCGACGTTTTTACCAGGGCATCCGAAGTGACATTGGCGGGTCTCTTTCCTAAGGACGTTGAAAGTGCGTCAGAGGACCCGGACCTGCCCTCAGCAGAGAAGGGGGAGATCCGCCCTGTTACAAGGGGGGTGGAGCCCTCAACTTTTTTTCAAATAGTAACACCTAATTGAAAAGAACATTCAAAACTTAGAATTTTGGCTGAAACCGCTGATCAATATCTTAATTATTGATCGAGACATGATACGTCAAAGGTCAAATTTGACTTTTTTTCAAGAAATCTTGACTCCGGTACAACTTATCGTCGTCACTTGACCTTTCACCCACAATATCTCTGTCAATAATTATGATATTGATGAGCGGTTTCAGCCAAAATTCTTAGTTTTGAATGTTCTCTCCAATTAGGCACCACAACGTATGGGTTATTATATGAAAAAAATGCCCCCCCCCCCC